TTTAGAATCTTATGAGCGTTTTTGTCTTTTTACAGCAAATGAGTCTTTTTGGAAATATTGTTAAATGAAAAAGTCAAAATGGATTTATGTGTCTTTGACTAGGGTATTTTTAAAAGTACCCCAATTTTTTTCATCATAATTAGACAAGTTGATTTTTATCTAAGAAGGCTCTATCGCCTTTTTATTCGATCATACATTTTCATAACATTGCTCAATAATTTTGGTCTTCAGCGTATAACTTTGATCTTACTCTAAGATCAAGCCATTTATATGGCATGAGATTACTTCGATTACACTTTGCGATCAACAATTGAATTGAGTCGAACCCCTGTTCTCATTTAGATTAAATTTTATTTAACTTGTCATGTGAACACATTGTACAGTGTAATAAATTAAGTCAGGGTATCATGTTAAATCGAACTATAAAAAAAATCACATAAATAAGCATGTTAAAATTTTCTATATTTAAGAGGTCAATTTGTTCGGTAAATTAGATTGACTCAATCTCATATTACACTGTCAAAACTTAAAAGCTAAGAAACATCTCATAATCAGGTAATGTCTAGAGGCATTGAAACTCATTTAGAAGTCTAATTGGCAGGGGCGGACATAGAAGTTTAAAGTTGGGGGGGCACAATCGAACTTGTAAAGAAATTGGCAGAAATTTTATAATCGAAAATTTACGTCAAAAAAATCATACCCCCTGTAATTTTGCATTCGAAAATTTACATGGGATATGACTTTTTCAGATGTAAAATTTTGAAAAAAATTATGTCATATTTCATATAAAATTTCCTAATAAAATGATGAAAATTACATTGAGAAATTTGTATTGTAAAAATAATAAATGTTAATGAAATAATTGAATTTTTTTTTAAAGAAAATGCAAGTTAAGCGCCTTTCTTTAAAATTCATGTTTAACGCATTTTTAACTATTTTCGATATCTATTTGGATTATTTGATATGCCTATAATGTAGTTATTGAAATAAACTTTGAGATGAGATAAGCAATTTGTAGATTCGATTAGCGTACGATCGTTGAAGAATTTTGAAAATTAGCATATTATTGAAATTTTCGAAATACTAATTTTGAATGGCTTACCAAAACAAGTCGTAACATTTGTTACGAT